ACCTACAGAGCCTGTGTCAAACGGTAGTGGTACTAACCTACAGAGCCTTTGACAAACGGTAGTGGTACTAACCTACAGAGCCTGTGTCAAAAGGAACTGGTACTAACCTACAGAGCCTGTGTCAAAAGGTAGTAGTACTAACCTACAGAGCCTGTGTCAAACGGTAGTGGTACTAACCTACAGAGCCTTTGACAAACGGTAGTGGTACTAACCTACAGAGCCTGTGTCAAAAGGAGCTGGTACCGACCTACAGAGCCTTTGACAAACGGTAGTGGTACTAACCTACAGAGCCTGTGTCAAAAGGAACTGGTACCAACCTACAGAGCCTGTGTCAAAAGGAACTGGGAATAACCTACAGAGCCTGTGTCAAAAGGAACTGGGAATAACCTATTTCAGTGTTCATTGTTGAAATTGAAAGGTTTTTTATCTTTTCTTACTGATGGCATTGCAACACCTCAGAAGAAATGTGACATAAATAAAAACAGTCATACAAAATTAACAGATTGACATCAACAGCTGTCCTCATCTTTTCGTATATATACCATCATAAGGGTGGCATTTCTACCATAAACTATATCTGAACTCTAAAACGTATATAATTACTATGAACACCTCAGTTTAGGTCCAAAACTATAGAGCTGTAACAAATTCTCAGGTCCCTGTGGGTAGTCACTGTCCAGACCTTAATGAAAACACAGGTAACTGTCAGTTGGCTCAAGTTCCATGATGGTAAATCACGAGATGTAGTCCACTACTTAACATTATAATTATTATTTAAACTCCACTGAGAATCTGTTACAGATTATCAGTGGAGTTTAAATAATTAAAATAATAATATCCAACATTTGATATAGTGCCCTAGCTATCTAGCTAGAATAAGCCACTCTAAAGCGCTTTACAGTACATAGATATACAATTAATACAATCAGTACATTTTGAGCATGTAAATTAAACTCTGGCCAGGAACTGATCATGACATTTTATAACCCACGGCACGGACTTAGATAACAATCTAATTCCGTGCCCACGGGCAGAACTCTTATGTTAAACATACACAAGTTTGGTGTAAGTAAAAGTTTGGTGTAAGTCCTATAATATATACCACAGGGACATGAGAATTTGTTACAGCTTTATCGTTTAACCACGGAATTAGTATCTAAGTCCGTGGTTTAACTGAACGAGTATTTATATATAATCTATATAATCATCATCATTGGGGAGGCATTTCTACCTAAAGTCGATCTGGACGCCTAGAACGTATAAAATTACCCTGAACAACTAGTAAAGGTCCAAATATAGCTGTAGCAAATTAGCAGGTCCCTGTGCTATACATGTGTACATATACGTACACACACCTACAGCTACCTACGTCTGTTAAACCTAATCCTACCTGTATGAAACTTGCGCAGCAAAGAACGAAAAGCAACCATCTGGGGGTACGAAAATGCTGGCAGGGGCGCGGGGCAAAACATCCCCATCCACAACCCCTCTCCTCAGCGCTGGTCTCCCCCGGGGAGTGCTCCTCCTCTCCTTTCGCCACACCCACAGCACACATGTTAGTCTGTTGTTTGTCAACACCCGACAGAGTAATTGTCTCACGCCGGTATACGTGTACACCTACCTGTGTGTACTCAACCGTAACGTGACACGGGCAGTAAGCTGTTTATACTCTAAAGCGATACCGATTTTTTTATGGTCGCGGACCCTGGTTGGCGTATTCAGGGGCGGGTCCAGGTGAGGGCGTAATGGGCGTACGCCCCCCCCCCTTTAAAAAAAATTAGCGTAATCTGCTAATATTGTATTGAATATGGCAATTTATCATATTCATTAATTAAACACATACTCTGATTTCTTTTTATACTGATTCCCCCATCTGGACTATTGAAATGTTAAGTAACGTCTTATACCCTAGAATTTGGAATTTCTCGTTATTGGTCTACTGCTGTTAAGATCCATCCAATCATTTTGATATACCATAGACAATTAATGGAGAGAATTCGGCATAAAAAATGCCAAACCCTGACACTTTAACTATAAAATATACATGCTCCAAGTCAGGAACCGTTACATTAGTGCATTTCACAATTATTTTATGTTTTTTAGCAAAAAAAAGGTCTTTTTTTTTTTAGCCTCACTACGCTCGGCGAAAGATTTGATTCTACGGCCCGGTCTTTCAAATATCCTAGAAACGCCCCTGGTATTTTGGGGTGGGGTTCACTTGGCAAGTCAGAACCAACTGCGCCTATTGTAAAAATATGCTTCAACACAATTTGCAAGGGCTTTTCGGTAGAAATATGTTCATTTCTGTGAGCATCCAAACAAGTTTTCACTGACAGTAACCATCAGATAATCCCATATTCTTCATCATTGTTCCTGACCATAACCCAATACAGGCACAGGGACCTGAGAATTTGTTACAGTTATATTTGGACCTAAACTAAGGTTTTCAGAGTAGTTTTACATGTTTGAGGGGTTTAGATCGACTTTCGGAAAAAATGACCCCACAATTAATGATCATATATAGGAGCCTTAATTGGGGGTGTCATTTTTACCTAAAGTCGATCTAAACCCCTCAAACATATAAAATTACTCTGAACCCCTTAGTTTAGGTTCAAATATAGCTGTAACAAATTATCAGGTCCCTGTGCCCACAAGCCTCGTCTGTCAATACACATACTGTCTACTGGTCACCTACCATCAGATTGGAGAAGCGCCTACATTACGCCACTCTTTTCTCGCTAACTACAGTTTTACTAAGTTTTTGAGCACATCATAGTGCGACATTATGCTGAACCACCTAGAGGACCAATTTGGGCTAAACTGACAAAAAACAACCAGAATGAATTAAGAAATAAACTGTTAGCAATGTTATCAAATTATGAATTATCATGACTAAAATATGTGAAAAGTATTTTTGAATAATGCAGTCTGATACATATGTTCAATAGTTTCCAAGTATACACTGACTAAAGAGTACCATATACCTCTCCGAAAGGAGCTAATAATAGAATATATAAGTACAACTTTGTTTAGAAAAGTACTTCAATTTCAATTCAATTCTTTTACATACTAGAACTCCCTCCGAAACTAGCCAAAGCGTATTGTAAGTTTAGAACATGTAATACTAAGTTACCAATTGAAAGTGGTAGGTGGCTCAATATACCACGTGAAAATAGATTATGTAGTTTATGTTATTAAAGAGAAATTGGCGACGAATTTCATTATCTGTTTATATGTACACATCAACCAATACTCAATAGTAGGCGAAAACCAGGGACGTATAGTGACTCTATATACTGTCCCTGGCGAAAACATATGTCCAGATATTATTATGTAAGACCAAACACATTTAAATATCATACATTATTCAATTATGTAACACAACATGGCAATCAAACTTCCTACCAAGTTTGAAATGAATCCATTCTAAATTACTCAAATTATTAAGCGGAAACTGTTTCGGCAATTCTACAAAGGGCCATAACTCCGTTAATAATTGGCAAATAATTTTGGTTTTCGAACGTGACCGAGCTTGAACGGCAATGAACCTTCCTACCAAGTTTAAAATTAATCGATTCAAAATTACTCAAGTTATTGAGAGGAAACTAATTGGGTGGTCGGGTGGTGCAGTGGATAGCGCACACTAAGACCCCCTGCGCGCAAACATCCGGGCCAACAATAGTGATTAATATAAGTTGACATAACTTGTTTCTTAATTGTTGTAAAATAAATAAAGTTTATATATTTAAACTAATGTGTGCCCGCCCGCTCGCCCGCCCGCGTGAAAACATAATACGTCCCGTCAATTGACGGGCGTATAAAAAGGTAACGGTGAATCGGAATTCACAAAACAAAGAGTAAAAATGCTATGATCAGAGATGGCCTCCGGCTACCAAACATAAACATTCTACAAGCAGAACGTAAACATAAACACCGGAAAGGTGATAAGCCAGGAGTAGTTCAAGGTCAAGTTCTTTATTAACTTTAAGTCTTGCGACTTATCAGTGTAAACATATATTAAACAGGATATTTACATATGTACAAAAAGCCACATTGGTCACAGGAGAATGAACAATACACACATACAAACTGTCATATATCTGATCGGCGCTTATTTGCCGCTATCAGATACTTTCCAAGATTACATATTTCTTTAATATTCTGTGTATTAAGTAATTGAACAAGAGGGTTATTTCTATAGTAACATTTTAAATACTTTCGTCTTAAATCTGTATATCTTGTGCAAACTAAAACAAAATGAAACTCGTCTTTTATGTCATTAAGATTAAACTTTGTACATAATCTATTAGTTCTAACAGTGCCAACATAACGTCCAGATTCAATGTTTAATTTGTGAGCTGACAGCCTAAGTCGAGCAATTTCTTTCGTATAACCACGGAATTAGATTAGATATCTAAGTCCGTGATATAACCGATGTTAACTGATTTTGTTAGATACGATTGTAGCAAAATTGTACTGTTTAATTCTCTGTAAAGCATACCTTTAGACATACCTGTAATTAAACTAATTAGTGATCGCTACCATCGAGACATTGGGTGAAAAACAGTCAGTCATGAAGAAAAAGATCACTTTCAACTGTGTCACGATTACTCCAATGTATATATTGATAATGACATGTCTAAAAGCGAGCTGGACACACAGCGTCCTCTTCACAATGTATTGCGTGAAATAGGTAAACAACACGACTGCAAGGTGTCCGGTAACACAATCGTAAAGGTAAAGGAACCGGAGCGTAACGGGCACTCGTACTCGGACGGATGGAGAACCGTACAGCGCAGACACACGCCGAATCGTGACGAGCGCCGCGTTAATCGAGATCATGGCTGATAAAATATAAGCACTCTTATCAGAATTATACCGCAATGAACGCCGCCAGGCCAGTCTTCGACTAGGTGGTTGGAACGTTAATGGGTGGTACAGGCATGCAAATGATAACTGTTTTTAGAAGTAAAGTTACCCAACATTTTGAATTCGGTGTTCTTGCTGTTTGTGAAACTTTTTTGACCAGTAACGAACAGATAGCGGTTGACGGATATCGCTTTTTTGGTCACAATAGGAAAAACATTCATACCCGCGCCAAACCTGGTTCAGGTGGCGTTGGGTTCCTTCTGAAAAACTCTGTTAAACTATTTTGACGTTTCGGATCTCAACAAAGAGAAAAAGGACGTGTATTGGATAAGATTGAAGGCGAAATCTGATGATTTCACAATATGTCAATGTGTGTGTTACTTTCCCCCAGAAAACTCCAACCACCCATATGATCCTTATTGCTTATTCAGAGCTCCTTCATCAAGTACACATGTACCAAAATGATGGACAAATATTCATATATGGTGATTTCAATGCTAGAATAGGTGATCTATCGGACTATATTGAAGGAATTGACTGCGTTCAGCCCAGACATTCCATAGATTCCGCTGTAATATCTTACGGTGACCATTTGATTGACGTTTGTATCGACTCCATTACGTGTATATTAAATGGGCGCTACAACGTCGGTGACGACAACTTCACGTGCGTGTCTAGGAGAGGGAAATCCGTCGTGGACTATATGATCGTGCCACACAACCAACACAATAACGTCAACGGTAATATACCTTACTCTCATCCTGACCATTCATTATTGGAGTATACAGTAAACCTGCCTGAGGATATAAGAATCGCCAATACTTACCGAAGTCTCCAAACCGATGTTAACGATATATCTGACACTCAGAGACGTTATAACGCGAAAAAAGTTCCGGATGATTTTCTTGTCGGACCCCAGTATTTACCAAACATCAAACTTCAATGTATAACGAGGAACATGATGATATGGTTAAGGAGCGTTTTGCAAATAACACGGTTCCATTAAAGCATAATCTGGATATTTCCGTCCTTAATGCATTGATTCAACGTCAGAGGAAGTTATAGAATCACTACGGCGTACACAAATTGGAAAAGCTGCAAGTATCGACAATATCCCCGCGGAAGTGCTCAAAAACAACGCTTGTGTGGATATTTTGTTTTCATTAATTAGTCATTGTAATGCAAACAAGGGTTGATCAATCCGATATTAAAACCAAACAGCACTGACCCTATGATCCATTAACCTATTGTCCGTTCCCTGTAAGGTCTATTGTGATATCCCCAACCGTCGTCTTAGCGCCTGACTGGAAAAACATGGTATATTACACGATGCTCAAAACGGTTTTCGCAAGGACAGAAGTTGTCAGAATCATGTGTACTCTCTTTATAGTATCGTAAAAAACCGAATAAATGCTAAGCAGTCGACGTTTTCGTGTTTTATAGACCTACGTAAAGCCTTTGATACCGTCGTCAGAGACTGTTTGTGGTATGAAATGCGCAATTTATAATGCTGTGTTTGCACTGTACAACTGTGTCACATGTTGTGTACGCGTCAACAATCTGCATACTGATTGGCTGTCTGTGTCACGTGGTGTAAAACAAGGTTGTTTAACCTCCCCGACACTCTTTGCAATCTGTATTAATGCCTTAATTGAAGAGCTAAACTCTTCAGAACATGGTATTGACATTGACGGTGTTAGTTTAAGTTGTCTTTTTTATGCTGACGACA